TAATGAAGAAGAGAAAGAAAACCAAATAAATCAATAACCATATAAGAGGAAGATGATCAACAATCAATGGTCTATTTCTAATAATATCAGCAAACCCAGATAATTTTGCAGGCATATTCTACAACTTTAAAAGAACAAATAGCATGGTTATTTTTTATCATTCAAACTATTCCAGAGCATTGGGAAAAAGCTGGAAATCCTCTAARTTCATCTTCAAGGCTAGGTACCCTAATATCAAAACTGGATAAAGACAGCACAATGAAACTATGGACCAATCTTACTTAAAAATATACATTTGAAATCACTTTAAAATGTATAAATGAATTAAATCCAGCAAGTTATTAAAATAGTAACATTTCATAACCAAATGGAGTTTAGTCTAAAAATAAGGGAATGTTTCAGTACCAAAAAATATGTAAATATAATTCATTACATTTGCAAAATAAAAAATAAAAATTATGATTTGTGTCATTAGATTCCCCCAAAATTGGATAATTACAGCAGTCATTCCTAAAGATAGTAAAATAATAGTAAATATAACATAAACTGTAAAATACTAGATAATTCCATTAAAATAGGAACAAAGCAGAGAAGCCTATTATTACCCAGTTTTTCAACATTCTTCAGAAGTCTAGCTAATGCAATAAGATAAGAAAAATGAATGACACAAAATTAGAAAATAAGATATTAATTATTGCTATCTCAGTCCCCCACAGGGGCACATGCCTGTAATCCCAGCAATTTGGGTGGCTAAGGCAGAAGGATCACAAAATCAAGGCTAGCCTTGGCAATTTGGTGAGACCCTGTCTCAAGCTAAAAATAAAAGGATTGGGATAGGCTGGGGTTGTAGCTCAGTGGCTGAGCAGCGCTAGACTCACATGCTTGAGGCACTGGGTTCAATCCGCAGCACCATATAAAATAAATAAATAAATAAAATAAAGATATTGTGTCCTATAATTTAAAAAAAAATTTTTAAAGGGATGGGAATATAGCTTTGAGACAGGGCACTATATGTTCAATTCCCAGAATTACACACACACAAAAAAAATTATTATCTCAAATACAATGATTGTATAATGTGACAAGAGATACCATCTTAAAATAACTGTTAGCATTATGATATCCCAGTGATGGGAAGGAATACAGGATAAATATGTGTAAAATCTGTAGTTTCCCTTTATATCATAAGCAGTTAAAACATTAAATGGAATAAAGGTCTCATTCATGGCAATGTTTTTAAGAAAAAACAAGATTTATTCTTCCATTTGGCATTAAATTTTTTTCCTAAGAGTACAGATTTATAATTTATTGGATCTTTGAAGTACTCATAAACACATCACATAAAGGTCTTAAATAGTTCTCCCTACCTACTTTATCTCAGTGTGTAATCTTAAAATTACATAAAGTTATAACTAGTTACAAAGAAAACACTTGAAGTTTAGAAGGCTGATATTTTCAACACAGCACTAGTTGATGGAATATTAGAGGAAGCATTAAACCATAATAKAGTATATGGGTAACATACTAAAAATCTTTTTATACTGTAGTAACTATGGGGCTAAAAAAACATGTTACTAAACTCTATCATTAGCAGAACTGAAATTCAAATATTTATATCATTATACAAGTTTGTCATATTTGATTAACAAAGTTCACTTCCATTTCAAATAATAATAAAAAATATATAGTGCCATGCTGTGGCGGGGTGGGGATGTGGCTCAGTGGTAAAGCCCTTGCCTCGCACATGTGAGGGTACTGGGTTCAATCCTCAGCACCACATAAAAAGAAATAAGAATACTGTGTCCATCTACAACTAAAAAAAGATATTTAAAAAAGTATTTAGGAGCTGGGGTTATAGCTCAGCAGTAGAGTGCTTGCCTTGCCCATGTGAGGCACTGGGTTCGATCCCCAGCACCACAAAAAAATAAATAAAGTAAAAATATTGCATCCATCTTTTTTTTTTAAAAAAGTATTTAGTGGCAAGTTTGGGGAAATGAAGCACATAAGAGAGTTTTTAGTTTAAAATAACTGATAAAAAGACCTATCATAGTATAGTTTTATTAAAATCCCTTCTAACTAAAAATATCTTTGACTCTGCATCATCACAGAAATACATAGAGAGCATTAACCTTGGGAAAATTCAGTCTTGCTTTATTATTGAATCAAACCAGGTTATTTGCACAATCAATAATATATCTCAAAACCTTATGGATCCTTTACATCAAGGAAAAGATGCTCATTTGAAAAATAAAATAAGGAGAATAAAATTACCTTAGATTAATTAAGCATCATTGTAAACATTAAAAATTTAGGTTTTACAAAGAAGTAGAATAGTGTGTATTTTCTAATTAAAAGATAACTAAGAACAGATTTCTTCACACACAAAATTTCCTTAAAGCTTATATTAGTTAATGAGGGTAGGGAGATAATTAATGTATCTGTAAAAAATGCTCTGTCTTAACAATTATTTCAAGATTAACTTGTCAGATCATCAATTCATTGGATAGAAATGTGTTGAGCATGTGCTATGTAATAGACACTTGGATCATTGTGAAGCAATATCAAACACACTGTCACATTTAATACATTCAACATATAGAGCAAAATTATGAGCAATCAAGACAATTACACCCTTGAGCAACTGATTTTTAAAATTCCACCATTCCATTAAGTTGATTTCTATCCCAGGATTCTCTCAGTTCTAAAATAAGAGAACAACAGTAACAACAACAAAAAATACCACCTAAATAAGGCAGTACAAATAATAGAAGTGTAAGAGAAAGGATGTATTAAGGCTTAAACTCTTGCTCCCATTTGCACTCAACAGTGCATCTAATGTTCAATTTTCTCTTCAAATAAAATCTTGATTTAAAGGAACAGAAAGTACAATCAGTTCAAAACATCTAAAAAAGTAAGCCATGTAGCTTATACTAAAGTTAGCAAAAGATAAAAACAGAAAAACATTAAAACAAATCTTTATTCTAAGTTATATAATGCCCTGCACTGTGGTAATGACCTTACACTTGGCTACATACATTTTTAAATAAATATTACCAACAGGTAGAAAATATTCTAAATATTCTTTTGCTGTCCTAAGACAGTCCTAGTAGAATTTTTACTCATAATGTGAATATTAATTTAAGGAAATGTCACTTCTATTCAATTCTATCACTTAATTGTTATATATTCTGGAAGGATGATTTATTTGGGTGTGGGGAAAAATTCTACATTGCTCTTCACCTTCCTCCCCAAAAAAGGATGCATTCTATTCTTGAACAGCTTTCTTTACATACATGCACACACAGAGACGTATGTGTGTACGTATATGTGTCCAACAAAGGCTTGATTTTGAGATTTCTCTTCCTCTTTTAACTGATTCACTAATCTCAGTGTGACTGGGAAACTGTACTGCTTTTCACATTTTATTCAGTCATCAATCATGAATTGAGTACCTTCTGCATGCCTGGCTTTTTGTCAAGTGGAAGGAAGATACAAAAGAAAAATAAGACAGTCTCTGCCATTCAGCATCTTGATATTTCTTTCAAGGGCAATATAAGATGATATATAAATATAATTTATGAAATTAGTACCTAAACCAATGGTATAGGTATCATGCATTTTACATTAATGGTGAATTTTAGAGACTTGAAACACTTTTGTGTTCACAAGATTGTCCTGAGCACAATCTTGTGAAGACACTTTATTAGCCCCATTTTAGTGATAAGGTACCTGAGATTCAGAATTTTAACCAACATGCCTCAATCATGCAAATTTTGAGTGGAAGAGTCATGAAGACCSAAGCCAGGGTTTTCCAAGCTCAGTCATCTGTTTAATACAGCATAGGAAATCAAGGATGAGGTACTCAAATAGAAAATAGTCAGCCTTCGGCTGGAGGTGGACCTGCACCTGGGCAATGTCCAGCAAAAGTCCAAATTAATATTATTCTGCAAATACCTATACTACAKTGTGATTCACAGATCTCAACTACCATTCCTTAATCTTAGTGCCTTGACTTCCTTAATACGAAGTCTGCTCTCAGAAATGGAAATATGGAATATAATCTAAAAATTTGGCCCATAAAATCTTAAATCATAAATATCAATCTTAAAAATCTAGTTTCTATTAATTCTTACAGATTTTGTTTTCCCTCAGCACTGGAAAGAATAACTCGCCTACCCTTTTCTCACATTCTTGCTCCAAATAACCACTTATTTTAAGATATGAATGATCGTCTCTGCCTCGMATTCTACAAGTTCACCCCAGTTTTGCCACTCAGCCCCAAACCCTGCCCAGACACCTTCCCCTCCCTCCCTAAGGATAGGATACCGAGTTCAGATTCTCCAAGTCCGGTCGTTCTGCTGCCACACAGCTCTGAGAAATAAGATTTGACCTTTCGACTCCGTCCTTGGGGACCTCCCGCTGGCCGAGCAACGTAGTTTCAAACCCGCGAAAGGAGCTTGGAGCTCAGGAACGCAGCCCCAGGCAGCGCGAGGTCCGAAGCCACGACTCTGAAGACTAGAATGATGCTGGGCGCCCGGGCGTGCATCACTCTGTCCCATACTCCTGCCAACTGCAGGGGACTGGGTCCTGCAGCCAGTCCATCCCACCCCACAGGTACGTCCGGACGGGCCCGACCTTATGCAGGACCCCGAGGACAGGTCAATGCCAGCGACAGCGGAGGCAGAAAAAGCCAAGGCCACCMGCCCCCGGTGCCCATCGCCGAAAACCTAAAGCCCCCAAGACTGGACCGCAGAAAAGCGTTTCTATGGGAACCTCCTGTGGATCACGTGACTGACCCGGCAACCAATCGCCTCTTACCTCTGCCCGCTGCCTCGCTTTCTGCCCGCCCGGCCGCCCCCGCCTCCTTCGCCCAGCCCCGCCCCTTTCCTGCAGCGAGTCCGCGCCTGCGCAGTGTCCTGCGCGCGCCCTCCCTCGCGCGCGCTCCCCGAGGAGCGCGGGGGCGGCGCGGGGGCTGGAGGAGAGCGCGAACCTGAGGAGGAAGAAGCTGGACCAGCGCGCAGGCCCAGAACCGCCCGAGCCGCGGCTGCGGCTACGCCCCAGAACGGAAGAGGGAAGTGAATCCAGAGCCGTGCAGTGGGTTTCTGCCGGGCTGGGCTTGCTGAGCTAGAGGCAGCAGCGAGAGGAGGCCTTGGCCACGGGTCCGGATCCGGGATGTCGAAGAACACGGTGTCGTCGGCCCGCTTCCGGAAGGTGGACGTGGATGAGTACGACGAGAACAAGTTCGTGGACGAGGAGGACRGGGGCGACGGGCAGGCCGGGCCCGACGAGGGCGAGGTGGACTCCTGCCTGCGGCAATATCCTTGCGTTCGCGGACCCCGCCCGGCCCCTGTCCCGCGGGGCGGCGGGGACCGAGGAGACAGTCCCTCCGGGTCGGGCGCCGCGAGCCCGGCKGCCCGGCTTGGACCTGGCTCCCTCTTCTGAAAGGCGGGGGCTTCCCGGGATCCCGGGTCCGCCGCGTCCGCCGGCCCAGGCCCGGATTCCTCAGGTGGCGCGGGCGTGGCGGCCTCGGGACGGTCCTGCCGGCCGCGCCCTCGAGGCGCCGGGAGGTGTGGGCCGGCCGCGGACCGGTGCCCGCGCCCAAGTTTCCTCCCAGAACTCTCTTTACGGGGATCSCTTTAGCTCCAGAAATTCCAGATGGGGTCGGGGGACGGGCGTCTTCAGTCTTTTTGTTATGTGGTTTGCGTTTTGTATCGTTGGAGTAGTTTATTTCTAGCCGGGAGAGATGGAGCGGTTCGCAAATTGAGGTCCTCTGTACTTCGCCCACGGGCTCCCCTCCACCCCATTAAGAAAAAGGGATCTGGCAAAATATAGGTGGCACATAATTTGTTAACCAGGTGTGGGGAGTGACTACAGAACACGAAAACTCCCAATGAGGAAGCTTGGAGCCTTTTATCTGCTAAGAATAGGACAATAGAGAAAAGACGGGGAATGCATGTGGAGAATCCCTGGAAATATTTAAAATAAACCCCAATGAATTAAATAGAAGATGAGTCATTTGCATAAAGCAGAATCATTTTTGTGATCATGAAATTGTTTCCGTTTTAGTTAAAATATGGCTGTCAGTTCCTGGTTTCTTGGTTTGCATACTTGAATATTCATAATCGCAAATTAGCATTTACATCAGATCATTTTTAGGAGAACGTAAATGTTGCAAAAAACAAAGCTGTAATTTTAGAAAAATCTCAATCACTAGCTCTTTATACATTTCTGATTATCCTTGAGTGCATTCTTTCCTTATCAGTGTCCTGTTAAACTACAATGAAGTAATAATCTGAGCAAAAATATTTATGACAACTGTATCTTTTCATAAAGGCACTTAAATATGGCATTAAACATTTATCAATGTGCTGTATAGGTTCTCCTTTGATTGCTACAGCTTTCACAATCATTTGTTATTATTTTGCATTATTTAAGTACCTGCCTGTTAACTGGTTGGGGTCTTTAAAAAACAGGCCAGTCTACAAAAGGTGTGCTTCTTTAGAAAGTCCATGCAGCCTTGAAAATTACAGCTTATTAACAATTATAGCTTTGTTTTCTTTCTTCATACCTATTTCTTAAGATAAGTGGTAAGCATTATTCTTTCTTAAAACATTTCTTATTAGGGAGGGATAAATGATGTTTTGGAAAACTAATATTTTAGGTAATTTATGGTATCCATATCAGTGGATCTTCTTTTTAATAAATTCATTCTAAAATACAAAGGCATTGTCTTTTCTTACCTTTGTTATTACAGGGAGCGACAGCCCTGGTCTGGTACTACAGATGGAGGAACAAGTGAACTCTCTTGTGGTTTTTCCTTTTAGGGAAATGACTGTACATTCTGATAGTCTGATTGGCCCTCCCCATTCTCATGCTTGCTAACTCACTGGTGCTTTCAGAGAGACTAAATCTAATAGGTATGGTCTAACACAGTTTGAATAACCTTTCTGAAGTATGAAGAAATGTATAAGACAAAAAAAAAGTAAACTGCCACCTAAAGGTCATATGAATTATTACATTTTCTGTAATACCTCTTGTTCAGTATTGAGAAATTGCTATTTATATCATTCAGCTTGTTAGAGTAATAATGCCAGCATGTCAGTTAATATAGATTATAATTTTAGTATAAACTTCAGTCTTTATGTTTTTACAGCTAAAATCACATAAGATATATTTTAGTTCATTTGGGGGCCTAATGATTCCAATGTATATTTTAGGGTTTTGGTTTTGGGGTGTTTTGTTGTTGTTTTGGGGGGTTTTTTTGGTAGTTATGTATGGACAGCATACCTTTATTTTATTTGTTTATTTTTATGAGGTGCTAAGAATCTAACTCAATGCCTCACACTAGGCAAGAACTCTACCACTAAGCTTACAGCCCCAGCCCTATTTTAGGGTTTCTTAAGAACCAGTCTACATAATGTTTGCATATGTGTTTCATTGGAATTAAAATATTATCAATCTTTGATAGTCTTTTTTTTTTTAATTCTGACGTTCTCTTATTTCAATATTTTGCCTTTGAGTGACTTTGGAAACCAAAACATTTGAGTTTTCAATATTGAACATGTGACAATGAAAATTTTTCTTCTTATGGATAAAATCAGGTCTTAAACTAAGGATTCCAGGTGTTATAATGCTTTCCCAGGGGCTATCCTTTGCTGTTTACTGCCTTAACCACCATCACAGGAAACATGACAGCTGCTCTCCAGGCAGCTCTGAAAAATCCCCCTATCAACACCAAGAGTCAGGCGGTGAAGGTGAGTCACAGCCACACACAGTGATCTCTACTGATACCTTATTATTCTTAAAAAAAAAAAAATGCTCTGAAGTCTCACAAAGTCATCAAATATTTTAACTAAACACTATCTCTGATGTAGAATAGATTAGAGTATACTTTTCCATGTGAAAAAAGAATGCTGTAACATGAAATGAGATATAATAATGCTGCATGGTAGTCATAGTGAATTCAAATGATGGTTTAATCATTTCTGTGTGTTTAAAAAAGGAGCAGTCAGGTTRAATTTAGTCAAAGGCTTAACAAGTAACTAAAATTTTTATCAAAATACACAGATTCTACTTTTTCTTGAAGCTTTTTAATTATAAAAAAATAAATGTTTATTATAAAAAACTCACACATATTAAGGGATTAAATGTTGATCATAATATTGCTACCCAGAGGTAGATTTATTCCTTTTTGATGTTGCTATATGCTTATAGAGTTTGAGTGTTTTTGTTTTTATAAAAATAGCATTTATAACCTACTTTTCATCTGAATAACAATGTCCAGGAATTTCTTTCCTTAACAATAAGTTTATTTCTATAGCATTCTTAACTRTTATACACCAGTGTGCTGCAGTTTAGATATAACTGATTTTTTGTCATTGACTRTTTTTCTTCTTGCTGTATGTATGATGGGAATAACTTGAGATAAATTTTAATTATTTTCTTTTAACAAACTCCTAGAAGTGAGCCACTGGACCAAGGAATGCACATTTTTTAAGCCTTTTGGTACATAAGATATTGCCAAATTGCCCTTCAGAAAAATTGTGCAACTTCCATTCCCTGTTGCAGTCATTCACTAATTCTTCAGGTCCTGTTTCCTCATTTATTATTTAAAATGAAGCATAAGTAAATCAAATTCCACGCATACATGGTTTTGTCAAAATGAAACCAACTGTTATATAACTAATGCATTAATAAAAGAAAAAATATTTATTAAAAAATTTTTAAAAGAACATATTGCCAGTCTGGGGCTCAGTTGGTAGCATGCTTACCTCGCATGCACTTAYAAACAAACAAACAAAATGGATCCTAAAACATCATTGCACTGTTAGTGGCTATTTATATGTTGTAGAACCTCAAAACTCTCCTTAATTGAATAGTAGTACATAGCTTAAATAAATGCATGATAATTATTATCCAGGCAACATAGTGTTTCATAAGGGAATTTTTCTTTGCTTTTTAAAAAGTTATTAGGAACATCATTGAAATTTTGATTTTACCACCTTCTGCTTTCATGTGGGTGGTTTTTATCACAGCTTGTGGGTAGGAGGTTATAACTCTGGGTATACAGATATTTTTCTAAATCAGATCATTTAAACTAGAGATAGCAATAGGTGGTAGAAACATTCTGTAAAATCTTGACCAATAGGGGATGCCAAAGATAGCACACTGTGTTGAATTATGATGAAAGGGTCAATTAAGTGTTCCTTTTGCTTTGCTAAATGGGTTAAATTTTTTTTTTTTTTTTTTTTTTTGCTGTTAGAGAAGTCTTTTACCGGATCACCAGGAAGGAATATCACTATATCTCATATCTATAGATAAAAAACTTAAAATAAGTTTTCTAAATATTTTAAAATAAAATTTTAAAGAAAAAATTTCTAAAGCATAGTTCAAAGTAGAACTTCAAACTAGTTTCCTTATTTGATAGCATTTTTTTAAGACTAAGAAGTGAAATTTAAATTTGTTTAATTGTGAAATTACCACACCAATCTGTTTTCAGCTCTACCTCCAATTATGTCAGGAATCTATCCACTTCTCACCACCTTTCGTGCCATGCTAACCCAAAACCAGCCTGTATTATTGCAGCCACTTCCTAACTGGGCTCCCTGCTTCTGCCTTGCTTCCCTGCACCCACAGCTTATTCTCAACATAGACAATAAAATGATTAAAATATGAATCAGATTATAGCAATGCTCTTAAAACCCTCCAATGTCTTAGAGTAAAATCCAGAGTCCTTACAATGGCCTGGAGGCCTTCCGTGATCTGCCTTCCCAAAACCTGACTTCTGTCCTGCTACTCTCTGACCACTCTGCTCTAACCTTATGGGGTCCTTTGAACACACAGAACCCACACTACAGCACTTGTTCCTTCTCCATCTGAAACACTTCCATATCCCACAGATTTCCTCTTTTGCATTTTTCAGGTCTTTATTCAAATATCACCTCAGGGTGACCTTTCTAAATTGTAGCCCCTGGCATATATCTGAATGTTTATTATATATTTACCCCCCCCCAGGATCGGGCAGGCAGCATTGTCTTGAAGGTGCTCATCTCTTTTAAAGCTAATGATATCGAAAAGGCCGTTCAATCTCTGGACAAGAATGGTGTGGATCTCCTAATGAAGTATATTTATAAGGGCTTTGAGAGCCCATCTGACAATAGCAGTGCTATGTTACTACAGTGGCATGAAAAGGTAAGTAATAAATCTGTACAACTGTTTTCCTTATAATAGAGGGTAACAGTGCCTCTTTTACCTTAGTAACTACATTGGCCTGACTGTACAACACATTATTACCAATAAAATGCATGAAAATAAGTTCAGGTATGTGCTTACTAGCCTTGGTCGTTAAGAGATTCTGGTGTACAACACATTTATTCACRTATACTAAGCACATATATTATGACTCATTAAACCTTGTCTTTACTTTTAATTAAATGAAATCTTTGCAAAAGAAAATAAGGAGTAAAAACCAAGAATTATTTTATAGTGATCAAAAGAAGGAAACAACCCAAGATAAACAGATAAAATGTAGTACATACCTACAGTGGAGTATTATTCATCCATAAACAGGAATTTGCTATTAGAAAGCATGGATCAACCTGTAAAACATTATACTAAATGAAATAAGCCAGACACAAAAAAATATATATTATAATCTGAAATAGGCAGATTTAAAGGAACTGAAAGTAATTAGAGCTTACCTGAGACTGGAGGAAGAGCAGAATATGGAGTCACTGCTTAATGGGAGCAGAGTGCCTGTTTAGAGTGATGAATAGGTTTTGGTAATGGATAATGGTGATGACTGCCCAACACTAGGAATATAATTAATATCACTGAATTTTTATACTTAAAGATGGTTAAGGACTGGGGCTGTAGCTCAGTGCTTGCCTCATTATGTGTGAGACACTGGGTTCGATCCTCAGTACCACATAAAAATAAATACATAAAAGATATTGTGTCCATGTACAACTAAAAAAAATTTTTWAAAAAGATGGTTAAAATGGCAGATTTTGTTATGTATTTTGCCACAATGTGGGGTTTTTTTGTTTTGTTTTTGTTTTTTTTTTTTAAAGAGAATAAGGAGGGGCTGGGGCTGTAGCTCAGTGGCAGAGCACTTGCCTAGCATGCATGAGGCACTGGGTTCGATCCTCAGCACCACATAAAAATAAACAAAGGCCTTCTGTCCATCTATGACTATAAAAAAAATTTTTTTAAATGGGAGAACAAGGAAAATTAATAATTTTTAAATCCCTTCTTCCATTTTCATGCATTTTGTTGAGAACTTGGTATATTCCAGGTACTCTCCCAAGAACTTTCCATGTTAATTCATTAGATCCTCATAAAAATACTAGGAGGAAAAACTTGCCATTCCTCTTTATAAATGAGGAAGMGGGAGGCATGTGTCAAGTCTTCGCTGCTTCTTGTCGTGAGTCATTGGGTTTTGCCACTCTTACCTCCTAAACACTTCTCAGATCCATCCACCCAAGTGCATCTCTAACGCGCCACCCGGTTCACAGCATCTCTCCAGTCTGTTGCTATAGCTTCTTAACTGGCATCCCAGCTGCCAGTCTGCCKCCCTCAAATCTGTTCTCCACCCAGCCACTAGAATAATCTTTTTAAAACCCAAATGTACCTTTGTCAGTCACCAGAAGAATAAAGTCCAAGTTCCCAAGACTAACCTCTGCCATGTCATTGTTCCCTTGAGCTACAGCAAAGCCAGCCTTTTCCCTTTTCACACCTCCGTACATTTGCTTGTGGTTTTTCTGCTGTCACCTCCTTATCCATTTAACATTGTTTTTCTCCTGGAAGACTTACCTAAAACATTCCTCTCTGCTGTCAGGCTGGGCGTGTGCCTTTTGTTTTTTGTGGCACTCTGTCATAACTCTTGCCTTTTCATATATTACATTAAAATGTTCTGTTTATAAGACGGTTTCTTCCCAGCAGAGCAGAAGCTACTAGATGTATTCATTTTTTTATCCCCAGCATCTGGCACAGCGTTTGAAACATAGTGGTATACAGCAAGTATTTAGCAGGTATTTTTTAAAGTACCCAGAGCTTCGGGTTCCTAATACTGTCTTGGCTTTCAAATTTTCAAGTTACAAAGTTTCTAAGTTTTTAGCTATTAAATAATATCTTCCTACAAACTCACAAATCTAAATGGAAGTTAGATGGTTGATCTCAATTTGATTTTCTTCCTGTGATGAGAAAGAGATACAGAATGTCCTCAATTCATATTTGAGCACCTGTTTTAGGTAAGAACATTAGGATGCATGTTTTCAAAACATGATTTAGAAACAATGTACTAGAATGTAAACTAAGTTGACTAGAATATAAACTCCGAGAAAGCATGGATATTAAAATTTTTATTTATTATTATATCTTTAATGCATAAAAAAGTGTCTGGTTATAATGAGTGCTGAAGAAATACTTGTTAATGAATTCACAGTCTGTGCTGTACATTCCTTCTTGAAAGAAAAAAAAAATTATTTATATGAGACATAGCCTTTTAGTATTCTGTGAACATTTACATTTGATTTGTTRTAGGCACTCGCTGCTGGAGGAGTAGGGTCCATTGTTCGTGTCCTGACTGCAAGGAAGACGGTGTAGTCCAGCAGGAACTGGATCCACTGCAGGAGTGGGAGTTGCTGGTACAAAGACCAAAACAACCAAATGCCACGGCTGCCCTGTGGGTAGCATCTGTTTTTCTCAGCTTTGCCTTCTTGCTTCCTTTTTCATATCTATAAAGAAGAAAATTACATGCCAGTTTTCCTTTCATGAAAATTGGGATAATGTGGAGGAAATTTGGTTTCAGCAGGATTTTGTTTCATCCTCTTGTAACCATTTCAATGATGTTTATACCAGTCTGTGTAGAGTATCATGTACATTCAGATTTAATTGTGCAATCTTAAACCCCTATCAGCTGGTTACTGTGTTGTTGGTTTGTTCYCCCCCCCCCCCCACTAATACGAGGGATCAGATCAGAATTTGAGGCCAGTTTCCTAACTCCTTGCTAGTCAGGAAGAGATCTTTATTAAAATATATATATATGAAACTGGCAGCTATTAACATTGCAAAACTGGACCATACTTCCCTTATTTAAGCAAAATGTGTTTCTGGAACAAGTGGTGGGTGAAAACCATTACTAATTTCCAATTTTATTTCTCCTYGTCTCCAGATTATGCTGTGAGTTTTAAGAACGCTACTTACTTTCAACATTCAATTATCATGGCCTCTTGATTTCTTTGTGGTCACCCAGGGTTCTGAACAAGGAGTCTTGTTCTACAAAGGTGTATCTATAAAATATCAGAGCCTGTTTGGCTTGATATTAAAGCTTTGTTGTGTCAATAATGTGGCTCCCTTTGGGGAAACTACTCCAAATCAGAAAGGATGAGGAAACTATGATGTAGTTCAAACTCTGGGCAGCCTCTGAATGAAATACTGTTTYTTTAGAAAAATAGTAGCTGCCTTAGACATTATGATGACATATATTTATTATACCATTTAGTATGCCCTATAAATGTCCTCAGTGTTCTTCAGRGTAATTGGGATCTCAAAAGATTTGGTTCAGATCCAAACAAATAACATATTCTGTGTTCAGCTCAGTGTTTCTTAAAAAAAAGTCACACAGCAAAAAATTGTTTACTTTGTTGGACAAACCAAATCGGTTCTCAAAAAGTGGCCGGTGCTTATAAAAAGCTATTGTTTCAGAGTAGCTCCAAAAAAACCACCTGAAAGCATATGACCAAGAGGGAAATTAGCCTGTGTTTAGTATTTACATTGGCTACCAGTTTCATAATCACTGACTTATATGAAAACTGGTGCAGAAATTCTATAAACTCTGCTGTTTTTGATACCTGCTTTTTGTTTTGTTTTGTAAAAATGATAAAACTTCAGAAAATAAAATGTCAGTGTTGAATAATTTATTTTTCTTACTGTAATGCTCATGAATGTGTGGTTAATTAAGAGGAAAGGTTTCCTGGTGCTACCATCATGTATTGTACTCTTGACAAGAACTGATTTTGTAGGGTTTATAAAATTATTTTATACACATACAAGGTAGTAGAGAAGAGGAGTAAGTAGTTAATGTGTCAGGGCACTGCTGAAGCCTTCAGAGTGATTCCATAGTCCCCTAGATACCACAGAACTACTGGAAGCATCACTGCCCAAAGATCTAGGCACCCAGCAGCTGCAGCCATTTACTCCCAGTATCTAAACTCTTTCTCACACCTCAAACCTATTTCATATATCTGTCTTAGAGCAACTCTGTTTGTTTTCACCTGTACCTAACTAACTTCCTACTTTAAATCCTTAAAAGCTACCAGGCAATTCAGAGGGCTATAAGTTAGGAGAAACCAAGCAATAGGTATTAGAAGTAATCAAGTAGGTATAGCATGACCATTTTTAAAAATGAAAAYAGGCGGGAGAGGTACTTTTTCATAGAGTTCTTAACTCATTTTTGAGACTGAAGTTTTGGGGGAAATTCTGGAATTCAGTATTCTATATTCATAAGAATGGATATGTTTAAAATCTGCCACCTCTCAGCCTTACTAAGGGAAGATAGTAAAAATACGGTGAGCAATACAGCATAGGGACTGGACCAATAGCTAGCAGCTGGAAACCTCTGGCTCAACTGATGCATCCTAGCTACATGCCAGCCCAGGCTGTAGTAGCCATGACAGGGCCATCACTAGTGAAGAATTTAGATTAGTTGTGGGAAAAAACATAAGTGCCAATTGGCACTTTTACTCAATTTTTTTTTAGGTAAAGTGGTTCTTTACCTACCACTTCTTTCTACTTTAATATTAGTGATTTATTGCCATTTTTTGAAAAGGAAAAACAGCAAACATACCCTTTTTTGGTTGTTAGGTAACAGTTGCACAAGATGAGTATGAGAACTCAAGGAAATCTCTTACTATACACAAGTGAAATCAATGTAAAACTGGTACAAATTAACCAATTCTTTTAAGCATTTAGTGTTTTCACCAGGGTCATAAGGGACACAGCAGAAGAGTAAGGTCTGGGTCTTTCTCACAAGTTGCTTTCAGCTATTTGGGAAGTAAGATGTAGGTACTATTATGGTTTGGATCTAGAACATCCTCCCAAAGGCTCATGTACTTAAAGGCTTGGTCCCCAATGCAGCAGTGTCCAGAAGTGGACTTTTGGATCATGCGGACTTTAGCCTCACAGTGGATTGATCTTTTGACATCTTGGTGACTTGAATGAATTATTGGGAAATGAGACCCAGTTGGAGGAAGGTGGTCACTGGGGCCAAGCCCGGGGGGGCGGGTATCTTGTCCCTGCCTCCCCTTACCTCCTGTCCACTTCTGTCATAAAGCTGAGCAGCTTTCCTCTGCCATATCTTTCCACCATGATGTTCTGCTTTTGCCCCAGAGCTGTTTAGCTGAGCCAGCCATGGTCTTTATGAAACTTCTGAAACCATGAGCCAAAGTCTTCCCTCCTTTATATTGTTATTGTCAGGTATTTTGGTCACAGTGATGAAAAGGTGATTAATGTCCTGTAGTTTAACATTTGATTGTAAATGTAGTGTGGAGAGAACAGTGAGATCAGGGCAGACCATAGTGCAGTGAGACAGATCAATCTGAACTAGGTCTTGCAGGAGCAAAAGGACAAAAAAGTTGAAGTGACATAAACAATAAAAGTTGAAGTGGGTTTCATTGTCATTATTCTTGTGGTTTTAATGTTTTTAAAAGGGAGTAGAATTCTAGATAGGGGTGTGTGTGTGTGTGTGTGTGTGTGTGTGTGTGTGTGTGTGTGTAAAATCTGCCTGAAGATCAGATGGTTTGTAGGTGCCAGAGCCAAGATTCCAACTCAAACCTGCCTGACTCCAAAGTTCTGTCACACTTGTTTCTCAAGCCTGCTGCTTGGGGAATGAAAATCTTTCTAGGACAGATGAAGACTTGGGTTTTCTCTAGGAACACCACCCTCAGTACTGCTGAGAGGTAAATCAATTCGGGATCCCTTCATAGAGACAAAAGTTCACAGATGGAAAAGTCAGAAGAAAGATTTGGAGAGGCATTACCACAGCAGGCTCAGCAGCACCAGCACAACCTGCTCCTTAACCATGAGTAGTTTTACCTGCACGTTGGTGATTCTTGTTTAAAAAAAAAAAAAAAACAGAAGCACTCTACCACTGAGCTACACCCCCAGCCCCCTTTTATTTTATTTTGAGATAGTGTCTCACTAAATTGCCCAGCCTGGCCTTGAGCTTGTGAACCTCCTGCCTTAGCCTTTCAAGTTGCTAGGATTGCAGGTTTGTGCCATTGTGCCTTCCTAATGATTAGGCAGAATTAAGTCACAAAAGAAAATGATACTGATTTAACAGACCCAAACTTTTCAGTCCCTTTTTTCTAGGAATTCCATTTATTATGGATATTAACCTCTAACCTCATTTTAATAAATTCCCTGAATTGTTTTCAGAGACAATGTATTTTATTAGTAAACTTATTTTGATTAATTTTGTTATAATACCATTTAGCAAGAATCAGAGCTATAATTTCATGTAATTATCCAGACTCAAAAGATTATTAGTCATAACTGGAATTTAGATGCTTGGTTGAAATCCTAAAAATCAGTTTGTCCCACCTCACTTCAATAAACTTATATGGGGCTCCATTTGGGAGGTCTTATACTTCAAGTGGGAAGTTTTTCTCTGGGAGTTATTCTTTTCTGGAGTGCCCTCCCATTCTAATTTCAAACCAATTGACAATTAGAGGTTTTGCATGGGAAATCCCAGGAAATGGAAGATCTCTGAGATAACTCTGGACTCAAGGAAAACAGGATCCAAATCATAGACCTGCATGGATATGAGACCAAAACACCATTCACCAGCACCAAAGAGCAAACGCTTGCATTCTTCGTGTTTCACTCCATTGCCTGCTGCCTTTGGTAGAGTTGGTATGAGATCCAACAAGTTTGAACTGGCTCTTGTCTATCTCTAGCTTTTCCACTTCTTGTTTTCAGTTGCCTCATATCTTTTCCTTTCCCTAATTCTATTCTCTATATTCCTTTTCTCTCTCCTCAGTCCATGCATCTGCTGCCTGCCTGTGCTCTCTTTCCTCTCTACTTCCACAGTCTCATTTTTCGAATTAGTTTATGCTCAGGCCTAGGTACTTGGAGCCATTTTAGTAATTAAAGTTGGTGGTCAAGCAGGTTAGTTTAAGTGATGCCCTCCCACAATTCTCCAGCTGACTTAAAGTGTTTAAATTGCTTATTTCTAAACTGTAAATGCAGGGTTTTATTTTCATAGGTTGCCTTGGCCTGCAGTTGAATAAACAGCCTAAAATCCAAAATGGTCCAATTTTTAAATAAACTGGTATTTAAAATGTATCGGAGGGCATTTGACCTCCTGCCTCCGTTTTAATAGGTTCCTTATTTCCTATGGCTTCAGAAACAATATATTTTAACAAACTGCTATTTCAATTAATTGTTACAAATCCATTTAGCAAGTACTAGAGCTATGATCTCATGTCATTAGCCATGCTGAAGAGATTATTAGCCRTAACGAAAATGTATTAGATTTACACATAACTTAACCCTACAGGCAAAATACTAGAAAGCACCAAAATGACTGGGGATGGGAAGATAGGCCCAATTAAAAAAACATTCAAGGGTCTCTGAACATTTTAGAAAGGGGTACTCTAAAGGCCCCTCTGTCCGTGCCTACCTTGGGTCTCCCCACCCCACTCCAGCCCAACATCCTGATAGAATATAGGAAAACCACCAAAGCTTACTGTGGACTACAGTGCGGTGTCTCGTGCCAGTCAAGGACAGAGGCCACCAGGGGAGCCCACAGAGGTCCAGCAGAGCCTCTTCCCCTAGGTGGTGCTGCTTCACCACATTAATGATCCAACCATGGGACACAACTTTTGCTTTGACATTTCTGTTTTCCTTTCATTTCCTTGGAAGTCTAAGGATAATAAATTATCTTTACTTACATCTCTTATTTCTCTGAAACAGTTCCCTCTAGTCCCTATAGTATGATACATGGCTAACCTGAATTCCACAGTCCAGGCTTCTAAGAAGGCCATATTTTCTGGCCCGGCATTTAGCTCTTGCTCTGTATGGCTCAGCCTCCTGATCTTTCTACTAGACTCTGTAGCCCCCTTGAAGTTATAGTAACTATTGATGTCCAGGCAATATCTATTGGTTGCAAACTGAGTCAAGTCGCCTGATACGTCCCCAAGTCATTTGCAGGACCCCAGTTACTAAGAAAACTGTGCAAAGTAAAATCATCCTCATTGGGTTCAAATCCCCCATACCCAACCAAGTTTAGTCACCAATTCATTGAATTTACTTCAATGCAGACATTTTTAGCAGAGAATTTGTCAGAAGTAGGTAGACATCAGAGCCTCCCTGGGTAGCATGGATAGCCCTGCTGGTGTTCAGCTCTGCCAGAATTCATCAGATAAAGGGGTCAGAAT